TTTGGTGGAGTTTTTGGGCTCTTGTTTGTAGAGTATCATATCATCTGCAAAGAATAATTTGACTTTTTCCTTTCCTATCCTTATTCCTTTTCTTTCTCTTGTCTAATTGCTCTGGCTAATGTTTCCAGAACTACGCTGAATAAGAGTAGTGACAGTGAGGGGCTGGGGATTTAGCTCAGTGGTTGCCTGCTTTGCAAGCGAAAGGACCCAAGCTCGATCTGGTCCTGGGGGAGGGGAGTAGTGACAGTGGACATCCTTGTCTTGTTTCTACTCTTAGAATGAAAGCTTTAAGTTTTGGTCCATTTAGTATGATGTTGGCTGTTGGTTTGTTATTGATGGCTTTTATAACATTGAGATAAAAGCTATCTATGCCAATTTTTGTAGGGTCTTATCATGAATAGGTACTAGACTTTGTCAAATGCCTTTTCTGCATGTATTGAGATGATTGTCTGGTTTTTAGCTCTGTTGATATGATGTGTTACATTTATTGATTTGTGTATGTTGAACCATTCTTGCATCCCTGGGATGAATCCTGCCTGGACATGGTGTATAACCTTTTGTTTGTTTGTTTTTTTTGTTTTGTTTTGTTTTGTTTTTTGAGACAGGGTCTCACTATGTAGTTGAGACTGAACTGGAACTCACTATGTAGCCCAGGCTGGTCTCGAACTCACAGCGATCCTCCTGCCTCAGCCTCCTGAGTGCTGGGATTACAGGCATGTGCCACCAGGCCCGGCTATTTGTCAGTATCTTATTGAGGATTTTTGAGTCTATGTTCATTAGTGAGATGGTAATTTCACCCTTTTCATTCCTAATTGCATGGATTTGAGTCCTTTCTTTCCTTTTTTAGATAAGGTTGGTATTATAGTTTGTGTCTAAATGTCTCCCCAAATCCTCATGTGGTCATAGCCTATTTTGGAGGTGGCCGAATCTAGAGTATATGACTGATTCATTGTGGGGCTGGGCACTAGGATTAAGGGCTTGAGTGCTACCTGTCCTGTGTAGTCTGAATAAGATAAAAGGGGCAGGGAGATATTGTTCAGGTCCCTTGTTGCTTCTGCTGCCTTCTACCACCATGAACTGTTGTCCCTCTGCCACCCTGCCTTCAAGCCAGCTGAATATGGACTAGAACTTCTACAAACTGTGAAATAAATAAAACTTTTCCTCTTTAACTTTGGGTGTTGCATATTTTTTTCTACTAAGTTTATTGGTACATTTAAGGCAAACAATACAGTTACATTTATCATTGGGATCTTGTAAGGGTATTGCATATTTTGTCTCAGTCATGAGAGAAAAGTAGCTAACACAGTTGGCAATGAGTTTGTCAATTTTATTTAATCTTTTGAAGAACCAACTCTTCACTTCCTTGATTCTTTGTATTGTTTTCTTAGTCTGTATTGCATTGATTTCTGTTCTGATCTTCATAATTTCCTCCCTCATATGAGCTTTGGGTTTGACTTGCTCTTCTTTTTCTAGAAGCTTGAAGTTCAACATTAGGTTGTTTATTTGAGCTCACTCTGTTTTTCTGATATGGGAATTCACTGCTATACATTTTCCTCATAGGCCGAGCATGGTGGTGCACGCCTGTAATCCCAGCACTCGGGAGGCTGAGGCAGGAGCATCGCTGTGAGTTCGAGACCAGCCTGGGCTACATAGTGAGTTTCAGGTCAGTCTCAACTACATAGTGGGATCCTGTCTCAAAAAATTCCCTCATAGGATTGCTTTCGTTGTGTCCCATAGGTTCCAGTGTGTTGTATTGGTGTTATCATTTCTGTAGAAACTAATTTCTTCTTTTTTTTTGTTTTTTTGGGTACTGGTGATTGAACTTGGGTCCTTGTGCTTGCGAGGCAATCAGAGGAACCACTGGGCTAATTTCCCTGGCCCACTAATTTCTTCTTTAATTTCATCTGTTACCTATTGGATGTTCCGTAGGGTGTTATTTAATTTCCATGTGTTTACGAAGTTCTTGTGATTTCTTTTGTTGTTGACTTCTAATTTAAATTCCTTTGCATTTATTTAAGCATGTTCTATGACCTAGTATGTGGTCTGTTTTGGAGAATGTCCCATGTGCATCTGAGAAAAATGTGTATTCTGATATTGTAGGGTGGAACACTCTGTAGACATCTACTACTAAGTCCATTTGTTCAAAAGTTTGGTTCAGTTCTGCCATTTCTTTGTTGATTTCTTTGTCTAATCTATCCATTTGTGACAGTGAGGTATTGAGGTCCCCCGTTACAATTGTATTAGTGATTATTTGATTTTTCCTGTCCACTGATATTTATTTTATATAGTTGAGTGTGCTGCTGTTTGGTGTACATGTATTTATGATTGTTATATCTTCTCTTGGATTGTTCCCTTTAGAAAGGATATGGTGATCTTCTTTGTCTCTCTCACTCAGTTTTGCTTTGAAATCCACTTTGTCTGCAAATAGAATAGCCATCTCTGCTTATTTCTGGGTTCACATGGAATATTGTTTTCCATCCTCTGATTTTCAGTCTGTGAATTCTTGTTGAATTAAATGTGTTTCTTGTATGTAGCATATTGTTAGATCTTGTGTGTGTGTGTGTGTGTGTGTGTGTGTGTGTGTGTGTGATGCTGGGGATTGACCTGTGCTTGCAAGGCAGGCAGTGGCACCACTGAGCTAAATCCCCAGCCCTGGATCTTGCTTCTTGATTCCTTCTGCAAGTGTGTTTCTTTTGATTGGTAGATTGAGACCATAAATGGTATGTACTGACTTATCCTTGACCTGTTATATTCCTCTTGTTGGTTCCCTTTTTTTCCTCCTCTGACTAATTGCTTGCCTCACCTTGTGAAATCATTCTGTGGGGGTTCATGGAGTTGTAGTCCTCATTATCTGTTTGTCCTTCAGAACATTTTGGAGTGCCAGTTTGGTGGTCATGAATTTCTTCATGTGTTCTTTGTCATGGAAGTATCTTATTTCTCCATCAATTTTGAAAGATAGTTTTGTGGGGTGTGTCAATCTGGGTTGGATGTTGTTTTCTTTTAGGCCTAGAAATACTTCCTCCAAGCTCTCCTTGGCTTGATTGTCTGTATTGAGAAGTCTGCTGATTCAGTTGGGCTTTCCTTTAGAGATAATTTGTTTGTTTTCTCTCACAGCTTTTAATATTCTGTTCTGGTGTTGAATTTCTGGAATCTTGCCTATTTTATCCCTTGGTTCAGCTTTTTTTTTTTTTTTTTTTAAATCATGGCTAATTGGAGTTCTATATGCCTCGCTTATCTGTGTGTCGAATTCTTTTCCCTTGCTTGGGAAGATTTCTACTATTACTTTGATGAACAGTTTTTTAAAAAAATGTCATTTGTGCTATCCCCTGCTTTTTCATTGACTCTGATCACTCTTATGTTATTCTTTGCATTGTCTAACAGCTGTTGGATTGATTTTTTTGTTGTCCCTTGCTTTTTTTTTTTTTTTCAGTAGCAGGGAATCCAACTGAGGACCTTGTACTTGCCACTGAGCACACATCTGCGGCCCAGTACCTTACTATTTTTGAGAAATCTTTCTTTTCATGATCACTAACCATGATCCTGTCTTCTAGATCTGATATTCTGTCCTCCCATTGGCTCATTCTGCTGCATAAACTTTTAACAGAATTTTTAATCTCCTAGATATCTGCTTGAATCCATTTCATGGATTCCATTTCTTATGTTGGACATTCATGGTTTCCATCATTTTCCTAAGCTCCTCTCTCTTTAAAAAAAAAAATCTGTATCTGCTTTATAGTCACTTACCATGTCTTTCCTTATGGTCACCATCTCTGTAGTTACCCAAGAAATTATTTGTTTAATTTTTTTCTAGAGCCTCATTCATTTGCTTTGTTACTTGTGCTGTTACCACTTCAGAGAGTCCTTGTGGGTGGGTTTCAAATTGTTTCATCTCATTGCTCCCTGGGTTTGTCTTTGGTGAGCTGGAAGTTTGAGGCTACGTCTTGCTTAAGTGTCTTCTCAATTTTCCCTTTTTTGTTTTTTATTTTTTATTTTTTGGTACCAGGGATTGAACTTGGGTCCTTGCGCTTGCAAGGCAGGCCACCGAACCACTGAGCTAAACCCCCAGCCCCCCTTTTTTGATTTTTAGTTTAATTCCTGGGATGATGCTTGCAAATTGCTTATGGCAAGTAGTTTTATTGTCTTTACCACCCTTAGGAAATGACTACTTCCCAGAGATGTCTTCCAGGTGCAGCTGGCCTTTGGGTTTTGAGCCTGTTGCAAGATCTCACTTCTTTAATTTACTGGGGATAAGAGCTTGCTGCCTATTTGGCCTAGTCCCTTGTTCTTTGGCACGGGTCTATTCTATTGTTTATGACCCTCAGTAATCTCAGACTTGGCACACCAGGGAGAATAACTGACGAGAACAACGATTTCACCTTGCCTAAAGTAGTAATCACCAACAATGATAGCATCAAATACAGCCAGCCAATGCAGCCTGCTGTGTCCATTGCTCTGTTCCACTGCTGTGTTCTCTGTGCAGGCCTCTGGGGTCACCCATAGTCACGGTGCGTCTACGGGTTGGAGTCAGTTTTTCCATGAAATGAGTTAGAGTTCAGGGAGAAAGTGCTGTTTGCCATCTCCTTCCTCTTTGCTCAAGTCTTTCTCTTACTCTCCCCATGGGCCTCAATTCTCACTTCAGATCCTTGGTACATTGCAGGGACCCAGTTACCTCCTTTTTCTCTTTGTCACATTGCTATATTCCAGCCATTGGACACCAAATTTTGGACAAGCCTTTTCTCTGCTATTAACCACTCTGCCGTTTTCCTGAGACATGGTCTTACTGTGTTGTTCCAGCTGCTTTGAAGTGATCCTTCAGCCTTAGCCTGCCAGGTAGCTGTGCCTACAGGCCGCCATGCCTACTGGACCTGCAGCTGCTGAAAGCATTGTGCCTGTCTTTTCATTAACGTGCCTTGACCATTTACACTTAGTGTAATTATGGATACATTTGGGTTTAGTGCTATCATTTTATTGTTTGTTTTTATTCCTGTCATCTTTCGCAGTTCCTGTTTCTCCTTTGTTCTGGAAACAAGTATGAGATGTGTCCCCAAGGCTCTGTTTGAATGAAGAAAGAAGAAGACGCACAGTGCAGTTCACTGAGGCCTGACTCATGGACAGGCATGTGCCTGGGCTGGGCAGCAGCGAGAAGAGCAACCTCAGCTTGGGATCAAAGGAGGAGAGATGTGTATATACATGTGGTTTGTGAGGACACAAATGACCCCATCCAAGCAGAATGCACCCAGTCTGTCTCAAGCTAATATCAAAGCCAGGCACATTCCTGGGATCAGTGCTCAGTTGTGAGGCCAAATGCTGCTCTGATGGTTGTGCTGTTTAGGGTTTCTTGGGAAACTGGACCAGGGTCATTCAGGGGCAGTCACAACAGTTATGACCCAACATGGTAGTGGTCATGCTGGGCTGAGTCACCACACCTTTTTCTGCCTTCAACTTGTGTTATATGAACTGTTTTTTGTGTTCTATTTTATTTTATTATGATTACTTTTTTTTTTGGTACCAGGGATCGAACTCAGGTTCTTGTGCTTGCGAGGCAGGTAGCAGAACCACTGAGCTAAATCCCCGGCCCATCTTTTTATTTTTTGAGACAGGGTCTTGCTTTGAAGCTTAGGTTGGCCTTACTATATAGCACAGGCTTGCCTCAAACTCACAGTGATCCTCCTGCTTCAGCTTCCTGAGTGCTGGTATGAGAGAGAGCATGCACCACCTTGCCTGACCCCATTATAGATAACATATATATTTTTTAAAGCAGTGGCAGGTATATTTGAAAGACTAAAAGTGAAGAGTGAGGGAGAAAATGGTTCTGCAGAGCAAGCTTTGGCTGACTAAAAGAGGAAAAAGCAAGACAAAAGTGCACCCTGAATGAAGCAGGAGAGGATAGCATAAGGAAAACCATGATAGCCCAATTTTATACACTTAAGACTAAGATTGTCCATGCTTGGTGAAGATATGCAGCTATCAAAATCTTATGACTTGATTTTTTTTTTGAGACAGTGGCTTTATAGGTAAGCTGGCCTTGAACTCTTACGTAGCCCAAGTTGACCTCAAATTTGCTATTATTCTCCTGCTACAGCCTTCCAAGTGCTGGGGTTACAGGTGTGCACCACTACTCCAGGCTATGACTTGATTTTTTTTTTTTTTTTTGTATCAGGGATTGAAGTCAGGACCTAGTGCTTGCAAGGCAGGCAGTGGAACCACTGAGCTAAATCCCTGGCCCTATGACTTGCTTTTGAAAAACAAAATTCTTACATTAGTTGGTGTGGCTGGATGAAGCTGTGCATGGCATGGCCCACAAAGCACCTCCCCTGGTGTCCAGGTTCAAAAATGTAAAAAATGTATTTGTAACATTGTTATTAGGAGTGGAAAAGAAAAATGAGACCCACAAGAGCATAAACAAATGAATAAATGCTGATAATGCTTATTCTGTAGAATATAGCAGTAAAAAATAATAAATATCATTCTATCAACATGGACAGTACTTGGGAGGCTGAGGCAGGATAATTACCTCTGTATTTTTCTGAATTCTACACATACATCATAAGGTCAGAAGGGTAACACAGAATGATGAAGAGGAAGTACAGATTAGTGCGGTTTTTTGGGGAGGACCTGGGTGGACCAAGAAGGCTACTCAGGGGGCTCTGCTGATGCTTTTCAGGTCAGAAGTCACAGAGCTGTTATTTAAAATAAAATTGTGTGTGTGTGTGTGTGTGTGTGTGTGTGTATGT